TGACTGACTGACTGACTGTCTGACTGACTGGCTGGCTGGCTGGCTGACTGACTGACTCTGACTGAATGAATGACTGATTGACTAACTGATAGACTAACTGACTAACTCGTAGACTGGCTAACTGAGGGACCACCGACAAACAAGCAGACAGGCGGACAGACAGACAGACAGACAGATAGACAGAAAGACACCAGGCACGCTGACAGACACACAGCGGAAGACAAAAGAACAGACAGAGACAAACTTCTTCCATTGGTTTTGAATAAAGCCGTGTGTTAAAAATACAACCATTGCAAATACATAGGAACCTCATTAGTCTAACCGCCAACGGACCACCAATGCCTGTTCGTATTGGACAGGTCAGTCTTGAATAAGAAACTTAATGTTGTAAACTGGGACAACAAGATGTCGTAATAATGAGATGTTCGTGAAGCGGGGTCACTGAATTACTATTCTAAGAGATTCATATTGGTGTAGGGATAAACAATAGCCTCCATTTTGCGCAAAAATATGCTCAGATATTTAGCCGCGGACATTATCCGTTCCGAAGAGCGAAACGTTTTCCGAGAGTGTTTATTATCCTTCAAATATTTTTTCACAACACGCACGGTTTTGAAAATTGGGGAATATTGGGGATTTTGCTAGGTTTGTTTCCCAGTCTTCTTCTCCATCTCTATTCAGTCATGTTGTCTCCAGTCTCTCTCTTTCTCTCTTTCCCGTGGGCCTTCTGGTGTCCACCCCAGTGCTGTCAAACAATCATTTTCAATCTCTCTCTCTTTACGGATAACATGTCCTTATAATTATTAGTTTTATGTCCTCTGACGGCGTAAGCGGTGGAAACAAGACCGGAGATGAAATACAGAAAAAAGTGTTCGTGACAACAAAATAACTCACTCCAACGGAGCATATGTCTCTGTGATTGGCTCCGAACAAAATTAAAACATAACTGATTTATATGCAAACTATCTGCTCTCGTGTTCTATTCTTCTTTTGGAGCACAAATATGTCTGAATTATTCATTTCATAAGATATATCCAGTCTTTCTCTTAGGCAGGAGCATTTATCCACCGCAGCTGAATTCGTGCATGGTGTGTTTTTGTACGGTGGGCGAGTATGAATGCAACGATAAATCCAGGTAAGTACGGATCAGATTAAAATAAGCAGTTTGAATTTTCCTGGCTCTTTTCTAAAAAAAAAATCGTTACAAACGAGAAATTACTTGCACTATTTTGGAATGAAATTCTCTGTCGAAGATCAGATGAGGAAACTGTTTAGCTGCCAGCTGATTCTTTTCCTAAATTTATTTATAAAACGGAATAAACCAAAGGTTTTGCGACAAGGAATATAATAAGTTCGTGCAGGGAAACGCGTGCCAGAGACTGATGGCTTACCTTTGATTGGCTTGCAACAAATTACAATTTACAAGTTTGCCATTTGCTTTCATCTTCTGTTTGATCTTGTCTTAGGGCAGACATCTGTTCAACTTATAGAAGTTATACACTTCTATAACAGTGAAAGTTTCGTTCGTGGCGGGTGAGAAGCTTACAGCTGAGTATTGTAATTAGAGAAGTTGATGCACGCTGGCTGAAAGGCAAAAAAAAATTACCAAAAGCCCTCAATACAGCTCTTCTCAGAGACGGGCTGCAAAGAAAGACAGAATATTTAATTCAACGGGGAACATGTTGCGCACATGTTGTGTGATTATTACTCTGTAAGGAATTATAAGACAGCTGGAAGTCCGCATTCTCTTGGCATCTGACGAGCGCGTAACTTCTAGTTTGCGAACACGAATCGAAGAGGAAAAAGGCGATATGGACAAGGAGGGCCTCAGGCATACTCTCCCTGTATTTCGAGAGAAAACCATACTTCAAGCTGAATGCTAATAATATATTAAATATAATAGATTATATTTTAAGAGGAAGCCTCCCGGATCACCTTGTGGTGGTTTTCAGGAAGGTCCTCTAAAAAATAGAGGTCTAAAATATGTTAAGTCTAGCATAGAATGGTACCTCTCGACAACGGCCACCTTGGGGACAGAGGAAAGTATTTGTTGGGGACAACTAAAAGTGGTCGATTGCTTTTTGTGATCGAATGAAGCATTTCACACACTACAAATGTAAATAGTTAGTTTTCGATGACTATGCAAAAAATCAGCTTTTTTCTTGAAAATCCACTGACCAGAGACTACGTGGATATTTGTAGGTGTCGACAATTAAAAATGATTCATCCCACAGTCAAGAAAAAACGCTCAGATGTGAAGTTGTCGATAACTATCCGTTGTCAGATGGGAAACTGCTAGTCGTCGACAACGTAAAATTTTCGCATTTAGTTGTCAACAACCTGTCCCATAGGCTGTGTTTTTTGGTCGTCGACCACTTTTAGTTGTCGACAACTACTCTCTGGTCAGTGGATTTTCAAGAAAAAAGCTGATTTTTTGCATAGTCATCGATAACTAACTATTTATATTTGTAGTGTGTGAAATGCTTCATTCGAAAACAAAAAGCAATCGACCACTTTTAGTTGTCCCCAACAAATAGTTGTCGACAACTAATCGTCTAGTCTGTGGAGGCCCAGTGTTCGGCAACTATTTTTTTTATCGACAACTAATTATGTCCGAGACGGGCATGCCACGCATTGGAGTGACAGTTGTCGATAACTAAGTCAGGCCAGCGAGAGCCTGGGAAATAACATTCACTAGGCATGCTCAAAACTGCAATACGCATGCTCAGACCATTGCTCCTGTTTATAGAAAAACTAAGGTGGCCGTTCGTAAATCGGGATGAAATCTTTACACACATGATTCACTTTTACAGGGGGCGACATAGCCCAGACCCGTCGACTAAGAGGTATTTTTTCACAAAAAAAAATATCTCAAAAATGGATTAGTAGAAACTGTTTCAGTTTGTGTTTAAAAACCCTTTTTGGCATAATTGTTTTGAGCTCACCCGGTGGAAAGGCCCATTCGATAATTGCTTTATAATAGGTTTGTTTCTGCCCCATTCCATTCTTGGCCTGACACCCTTGGGCATGTAACCATTACGGGTATCACTGATAACCGTGTTACTGGCTCATTGTAGATCTGAGCACATTAGCATGTTCGGTGATCTCTCCATTCATTGCGTCTTGCATAACACAACACCGATGACCAAAATTCCTTGCGTGTAATGGGACCCACCCCAACGATGTCAGGGCCCGCAGAATATAACAGCATGACTTCTCTGAAAAGGACTTCACTTCACATTCTTTTCCTAAGAAGTCTATATAGGTATGTGCAACCCCAAAGGTTAATACAATACAATATTTTATTTCAAGTGGAACATACGCTTAGCTTAGTTTAAAAAAAAACTGCAACGGCTACTTTACAGATATGCCACGAAAAATAATAAATAAATAAATAAATAAATAAAAATTTGTAATTAAAGATATATAAACCTATCTACAGTTAAAAATAAAGTCATCACGGATTAAGAACTATTTACAGGATA